TCAAATGAGTCTATAGATATAATAGAAACCTGAAATAGATAGATAACAAAAAGATTTCATATAGTAGACACTTGGACTCGAATAAATCTATTGATCGCTCTTTGAATTTTTTTTATCGAACTGTTTTTAGAACTGTTGCATCGTTTTTGAAATCATTTTGGATTTGCATTGTAAAGGAAGGACTTTCAAGCTTGTTGAGGATAAGAACCAATTGTTTCACTACGTATTCCAATATCAACGGAAGAGATTTCTTTGACTTTTTATAAAATTTTTCAATCGACTTTTTGATATTTTTTTATTTTTGAAATCATCTTCGAATACGTCTTAACAACATCGCCCACGTGACGACTACGTGATCATATTTAAACAGAACGCTGATCTGTATAAAATTTCAGTTATCTGTTTGAATTAGTTGGGCTCTTATGTCCATCGTCTTTTGTGTTAAATTGTTATAAGTTATAATGTTAATTATGTTTAAATGAAAATGTCCATGAAGATGGTCTTAAATAGACCGAAACGTCCGACGTCGACTTTATTTTAACATTAATAATGCATATTCAGAATTTTGTTTTTTTTCTGTTTTTTTCTTTATATACTGTCGGATTTATATCCATATATTTGCTTACATATATATATATATAAGAAATATATAAAATTTGAAAATGCATATAAATGCGGGATAAAGTGCACAATATGTGAGATGGAATTTATGTAAATATAAAAATATATTATATTGAAGTCAACCCTCATAGGGGACAGACTATTTTCATGTTAAACGCAATCATCAGGCAGCATGTGTTGGATTTTCTCTAATATTTATATGTAGTGGTCAGTGGTGTGTGGTTAGTCTATTCTGAGGCTTATTTGGGCGGGAGTGGCTTGTTAATTTATTTATTTGAATAATTCATTTTACCTGGTTTTATTTTTTTTTTATTTATTCTATTCGGTTTTCGGGTTTTTATTAACGTAGTAAAAACAATTTTTGAGTTGTGTTCTGATTGTTTATTTAGTATTTTGTTTTCGTCATAGGAAGGTAATTATAGCTATTTTTCGTTCAATTACCCGCCAAAAATGGATTGTTTGTTGTAGTTTAATGTGACGGTTATTTTAGCTGGAGCGGTTTTGTTAATTTGTTTATTATTACTTTATCAATAGATTTGGATTGATTATTTATACTTATTCATTTTTATTTTTATTTTTTTTTTTTTTTTTGTATATTCTAAATTTTTGCTATGGCGGGAGTGGTTTGAATAGAATATTTATCATTTGCTTCGGTGATTTTATTTTAGCGGTTTTTTATTATTTTATTTATTTTCATTTATTTATTTCTGTTTTCGATTTTATATAACGTAGTAAAAATTTGTTTCATGCCTGCATTTAGAGATGAGTTCTAATCGTTTATTTAGTAGTTGTTGTCTACGTATAATTATAGCATATTTATATATCCAATAAACTTTGCATATTTTTGATTGATTATTGTAGGTTGAAGTTATTTTCCTTATTTTCCATTATATTTTCGGTGCGTTTTGGTGAGAACATGGCAGAAATTATAAAAAAAATACAACAGAAAAACTATCAACACACAGCCCGAATAAATTGAATCCACGTGTAACTGAAAATTAAAATGACTGTCCCATGTTTAATTGCTTTTAAAACAACGTAATATAATAATCATAGTAAAATCACCAGATAATGAAGGGAAAATATAACTGAAGAACTTTGAAAACAAAAGAAACTATGCACACAAAACGTATTTCAAAAATAATAATTATGCAAACAGCACAACTCTTCCTAAGTATGTCTGGGAAATTTATAAACAAAATGCCAAAAATCTTGAAAATAAGGATGGTGCATCACTACATTTTGCACTTAGGACAGTGGTTGCGTGGTTAGACGCGTACTGCCCCCCTTCTGCCGGGGACCGAGGAAACGAAAATGCGATCCGATACACGTGGCGAACCAGTTTCTTCTCGTCGGACGATCCGCGCCGCGGGTCCCGCGCCCTCAGGCTACCCCCACCGTCTCGGGCGCGCGAGGGACAGTGTTCGCGGGAGCTTTTGAAACTGACGGGGCCGCGTCGATTCCCGCGCCGGTGCGTGATGTCGTCTCGTCGCGACGTCTTCTCCGCGTCCGGACGCAAAATCTGGGCGCGCGGGAAATAATATTTGCCGGCGCGGTAGGTCGGCGTCTGACTGTGCCGCCCGTCAACTCGGGTCCGCGAGGTGCATCGGCAACCCACCTGACCCGTCTTGAAACACGAACCGAGGAGTCCTGGCCGTTCGCGAGTCGTAGGGACCCCTGAAGAACATTATGAAGGCGCAGCAAAAGCGAGAGAGCGCGTGGGGAGGGCAAAATTTACGCGTGGGAGGGCACCGGTCGCGGCGAAAGCGGTTCCGAGGGAAATTTCTCGCTTCCTTCCACCTGACTAGCCATGCCCGATTCCGCCGGCGCTTGCTGTCTTCGTCCCGTCGTCCGTTTCCCCCTTTTCCTCCGTTCGTCCCGTATCGGTTCCTCCACGATTTTCCCGTCGCCGGGAGATGACGCATTTTTCTCGGGCGCTTGTGGCGGGGGAAACTCGTCGGGGATTCGTTCGCGGGGTACAGCCTCAAACTTTCCTCCGACCGCCCACCGGTGAGATCCCGCGGCTTGTTTAGTCACGATTTAGGTCGTCGAGTTTATAAGCTGCGCGCGGGCGGATTTCCCCCGGGTCGGTAATTTTTCTCCGAGTACGATTCGGCTGGTCTTTCGAGCGGCCGGTTTCTGTCGAAAGATGGCGAATCACGCCCGGTTTGTGTGAAGCCATAAGGAAATTTTGGTGGAAGTCCGAAGTGCCTCTGACGTGCAAATCGATCGTCGGAATCGGGTGTAGGGGCGAAAGACCAAAAAATATTGTCTAGTAGCTGGTTATCGAAGTTTCCTTCAGGATAGCTGGCGTTCGATCGTCGCAATTTCATCCGGTAAAGCGAACGATTGGAGGACCCGGGGCGTTCACGGCCTCGACCTACTCTCGCACTCGGAACGGGTGGAACGGGTCGACTCTCCCGAATACGGAGCCGTCCCACTATCTCTGCCGCCGTCGTCTCGACGAAGGAGCTGGCAAAAACAAATGCGAGTGCCAAGTGGGCCACTTTGATATGCAGAACTTGCGCTGTGGGATGAACTAAACGTCCGGCCAAGGTGCCTAACACGACACCATGAATTCCCCGAAAGGATGTCGGTCGATATAGACAGCAGGACGGATGAATATATTACATCACTTTTATTAATTCTCACGTAATTTTTTTTACTAAGATAAGAAATTAATGTTTGTGTTTCAGGTTTATCCTCAATAAAATGTGGGTAACTGACATATAAAGATAATATATATGACAGCGTTGCCCGTGCGTGATTCAAAAATCGTATGACTCATACATTAATCGCTATCACTTGACTTAAAATGTTTTTAGCCTTCCTTAAAATATTTTTGCCCTTCCTTGCCTTTAAAGGAGTCCTTTTCCGTGCTGATGTTGCTACATATCTTACTTCTTGCTTATCTCACACTGCGATTTTTCTAAGCTCTATACTAAAATTAAATCTGTTACGAAAAAAGAACTAAACAAAATGAACACAAAACGATCAGCTTTAAAAAAGCACTCGTAACTGGAAAAACCGAATGAAAAACAATGTTAACAACAAATACTTTTCACACACAACCCAGTTTCCTGAAATGTTGAGACTGGTCATACTACTTCGGCGGGGTTGTTGTTGCCCTTGTTTTTGTTAACCCGGTACTTTGGAAACCATACATTGATCCGATTTTAAGTTCAAATAAAAAAGAGCTCAAAAGTGTTTAACAACGCGACATCAACTGCCCAGACTTCAAAATGAGGTGATGTACCGGGCCGCGTAGTGCAGGCGAGACATTCAACTTAAAACCCCCAAAATCCGTATCACCTGTCAGTTAATCGGTTTTTTTACAAAGTTTGAGTCCCAAATAAAATTCGTGATTCGGCATGACACATTGACGTAAACTGAAAAATTGGATCTGAGATACGGCCTGGGAAAAAGAACAAAGTTTAAACAAGTGGGAAATGGACTGCTGAGGACATGGTCAAGAGAAAGGTTTGTATCGATTTTTGAGTCATGACGAGGTCACACGGTATTCTATGCAAGGCACCTCTAACTGGGCCGCGTAGGAATTTCTGGTTGAATTGTAAAGAACGCCCGAAATTATAGAATGTAATCCGCCCAAATACCGGAGTACCAGCCGATTTACCAATTTTTGGAATGCCTGAGTCCAAATTCAAAATCTGTCTCCGTTACAAATTGACGCCGTAAATGTCGGAAGTTGAATCGACATTTGTCTTTAATTGCAGCCTGGGCGTGAAAAGTTGCAAAACTGACAGCTGATGGCAGTGTCGAACCGGAACTTTTATCGATTTTTTTTGCTGCACGAAGGGGTCTCGCACGCGCATTTTTTGAAAGGGCCGTAATCTGGTCGGGGTCATTCATTTCTGTACATATGGTATGGTGATGTAAGGAGAGACAATTGATGCTTGTAACTATACATTAATTGGCGATGAGTTCAATGCTTCACAGTAATGCGGTAAAGGGGAGCAAGTGCTTATCCCATGGATGCATTTGTATCCATCAGATGCCGATGTACCCTTCATTTTCAGAAGATCCCCATTCCCATTCGCACCCTGTTTTGCTATGACAATTACTAAGGCACAAGGACAAACTGTCTGTCACTGGATGTACACTATGAGAAGCAGTGCTTCTCAGACGGCCAACTTTACGTAGCCTGCTCTCGAGTCGGAAGGCGCGATGATATGTTCCTTTATTCACCCTCACAAAACATGAAAATGTGGTCTACACTGAAGTCCTCAGCCAGTCCTCATTAACTCCATTCCAATTTTCCTTTCCATGCAAGAAAATTGAGGTCCCCTCAGGGGTACAACGGGGAGGCTCTGGCGAAAGTCACTAGATAGAAGGACAGATATACCTACCATAAGGTCATC